GCCCCAGAGTATTCCTTCTTAAAACAGATAGCTCAAGCCTATACATACCTCTTCAGTACAGCATGGCAACATTTTTTCAGGGGGAAACATATGGTAGCATTCATTCATTCATACAACTTCTTTATTCCTCCTCCAAATCTTTCACTTGGCCTAAATAAACCATTCGAAGTAGAAGAATAGTTGCCCTTGATTAAATACCTCCTCCCTCTTCCCCGATTCTTTCCCTTACTTCCTACAAATGAAATTTTTCCCAATTTGAAGGAAAGGTAATATTTTATATATAAGATGAGGGTATTTTTCCCACTGCTTTTCAGAGAGTGAAAAGGAAGGAAGGAGGGAGAGAGAGACACAGAGGACAGAGAGAGACACACACACATTGATTGATTGCCTCTCATACTCACCCCAACCCAGGCTGGGGATCGAACCTGCAACCCAATACGTTGCCCTTGACCGGGAATCAAACCTAAAACCCTTCACAGTGCACAGGCTGACGCTCTACCCACTAAGCCCCGCCAGCCAGGGAATAAGATGACTTTTCCAAAGATTAATTTGTTTTGGTGTTTGAAATAAGCCATCTGATCTCATGCAGGTAGATTTTCTGTCACCAGGCTTCCTTTTTCTGATGATGATTAAGCCTTGAGCCATGCTAAGAAATAGGCAAGAGGTAATGAATGCTGCTCTACATTGAGATAGTTTGGGGGCTTAGCAGAATTTTAAAATATAGCAAAATCTCTAGGGAACCAAGAAAGAAAGATATAGCAAACGAAAAAGTCTTATAGACTTTAAAAAAAAGAAAGAAAGCTATTCTCCATTACCATGTTCCCACCTATTTCTACTGAAAAGGGCCAAGATAGATTAGCTAGGTAGATAGATATTGCATGATGATATAGCAAAAGAATCTAGCAACAATGCCATGCCTTTGATTCTCTGAATTATCAGAATGGGAACCTTAAAATTATGGTCATAAACAGAATGATGTTTTTCTGTATGTTTGAGTTTTCCAGAAGAGATCTCACATGGCTGATGAAGGAATGACAATGACTCCCCTAAGCTTTTTGAATGTTACGCAAGCACCATAACAAGAACTTTGCCTTTTTCCTGCAAGTTAAGTAGATAAAACATAAAAGGGCCTGATAGATCATGTAACAAAAAGTGAAATTTGTGTTGAAGCCTCAACTTGATGCTTTAGAAGAGCGTTTTTTCTAGTAACTTTAGATTCTGACAGTAAACAGTTGTCTAAGTATGGTAGGGAACTGCTTTATGGTTTTAATGATCACAAACTACAGAGATACCATTCTGAGGAGTCATGGGGGGGGGTGAAGAGCCATTTGTAGCATCTTAAAACTATTAGAGAGTCTACTACAGAAGAAAGCCTTTTGGAATTTTCTAATTTTGTGTTGATAAAAATACTTTGTGACAGGAAAAAGGAGAAGTTTCCAGCGAAAGGTGATTTTTTTTTTTAAATCAACCCCAGGGCAATTAGTGAGGGCTTTTAAAATAGAGGCCATATTGAATATATCTCTCAAGTCCCAGCAACTGACTCCTAGTAACTGCTCAATTAATGGTTGATGCGCGAATAAATGTATGCAAAGCATTCCCACAAATCTCGAGCTTTTTTTTCACATCCTCTCTCACCATTAGACTAGGATAACTTAAAATTACTAGGCGTCAGGTTCTGCATGAATCCAAACTATAAGATCTAGAACTGGTGGTACAAATAATCCAGTTCTCCATGGAATAAATACACAATTTATAGTGGTGGAGAGAAGGAGTAGGAAGTGGCTGCTCCTTAAAAATAATACTGTCTTCCTCCAAAAGGGGTTAGTTAGTGAATCATCAAAAATTACTAGGCATCAGGTTCTGCATGAATCCAAACTATAAGATCTAGAACTGGTGGTACAAATAATCCAGTTCTCCATGGAATAAATACACAATTTATAGTGGTGGAGAGAAGGAGTAGGAAGTGGCTGCTCCTTAAAAATAATACTGTCTTCCTCCAAAAGGGGTTAGTGAGTGAATCATCCAGAATCTTTTCAAAGGTCTAAACAAGGCCCATTAACTAGTCACTTCCATCAGGGTTCCTTCTAGAGGCCCAAAGTTACACCTGTACTTCTTCCTCCTCCTTAAAAGATCCAGCTCTCCCAAGACCCAAAATGAAGTTCCCAGAATTAGGCCATTGAAGGTTGGGAGGCAGTAGAGAGATACATCATTTGCAGCTTCAGGTGCTGAAAACTCAGCCTCTTCCAAAGAGTTGCCAGGTCCTCTTGGATCCTATGAGGGCCAAACAGCCCATGTCTTCGATCAAGAGTGACAGCAAGTGGTCATGTCCTTCCTGGGCATGGTTGTCTGGGCGGGGGAAGAAGTAATAAGACCTGCAGGGGCTGGAGGAACCTGTCCCTTGGGTGGTTTGAAATGACTCTGAAGAACTGGTTTGGAGGCAAGTTTTATTCTTTTTAAAAAATATATTTTATTGATTTTTTACAGAGAGGAAGGGAGAGGGATAGAGAGTTAGAAACATCGATGAGAGAGAAACATCAATCAGCTGCCTCCTGCACACTCCCCACTGGGTATGTGCCCGCAACCAAGGTACATGCCCTTGACTGGAATCGAACCTGGGACCTTTCAGTCCGCAGGCCGACGCGCTATCCACTGAGCCAAACCAGTCAGGGCAAGTTTTATTCTTGAGGCTATCTTTCAGAGGGATGTTTACATGGAATAAAACGAACCCCAGTAAAAATGAGATCAGTTAGGAAAAGGTACAAGAACCAGAATAGTCCTAACTCTTCTGATGAAAACAATAGTAAAATGCACGCATATCACCAGGAAAACTCTTCAAGGTGCAGTTTCTTTAAGAATCAGTTCTAGGATGAAGGATGTCAGAGGGGAAGGGGGTTGGGAGGGTCTGGATAAAAGAAGGTGAAGAGATTAGCCACAGAACAGATATGCATAGCCCATGGACACAGACAAGTGTGGTGAAGGTCAGGGGAGGGGTGAGGCAGGAGCTGGGTGGAAGTAGGCCAAGAGGGGAAAAAATGGGGAACATCTGTAATAGTGTCAATAATAAAAAATATATTCATGCCAAAAAAAAAAAAAAAGAATCAGTCCCGCTGGTAATGATACAAATGCAAAAAATCCCTGTAATTCCTCAAAAGATTTTGAATATATCAGTAACCCTCTCTTTATCTCTACTCCCTATCACCTAAATTTAAACTAACCAAAGAATCTGAGTATAAAATTACTGTCCTGGGTCAGGGACTCCTACACAGAATATCAACAGTACTTTTATAGCAAAAGAAGATCATGAGGACTTTGGTATCTGTGTTACTTTAGTAAAAATATACATTTTTGGGGGGGTGGGGAGCTGAAGTTAAAGATATAGTTTCCTCTTTGTAGCTCTAAAATTTCATTGTCTCTAAAAGTAGAATGGATCAGATTGAGTTGGCAGACAAAGTAAAAGTTTAGCAAACAGAATAATTTTAATTAGCTTTATAGGCGCTATAGCCTGTCATATTTTTTTTTCTTTAGTAGTTTCTCAGCCATTTTCAAGTGGGCTTCATGCAAATTCATCCACTAAGTGTGGGTTAGTTAAAACAATATTCTGTCCTCAGTCAGAAAACATAGAATGCATTTCATCCACATAAGCCTTGAAGAGGCTAGTCAAGTGACAGATCAAATAAAAAGGACACTTAATACGCATGTAAATCATTTGCATTACAAATAAGACACTTTAGCAGGGGTTGGACTCCCTGCCCGATAGTCAGGATTAAGTTCCCATATTAATGCATGCATTTGGTGTGGTTATTTCGGGTGGAAGACTTCATCCATCAATGCTCCACCAGCAAGTAAAGCCAACCTGTAAGCTGATCACCACAGCCTGTCAACACTGGTTACTTAATTACATAAAGAAAATATATTTCAAAGACTTTTGGTAATTTGGTTCAATGTCTAGCATCTTTCTTAAGGTTCTTCACAATAACGGTTAAAAGCAGTTTTAAGAATTAAAAATGAAAACACTAAATGCTATTTTTTTGCTCTTTGCTAATCTTTTTTTCAGCTTTTATTTGCAAAAGTCAAAAATAAAAATTCAATGAGCGCTCATGAAGGCTCATATGGATGAAATAATATTTTATCAGATGTTTCCATTAAAAACTAAATTAAATGTACTTGTGCCGTTAATTTGTGCTTTTCGTTAAGTCATTTTAAAAATTTCTAATTCCAATTTATTTATGTTACTAATTAGTAGTTAATCTTGATTGTTTTATAGAAAGGAGAAGCATTTCTTCTAATGAAGAATAGTTTCATATTTTCAGTTTAATTATTTTTGAAAGGCTACATATTATGAAATTATCTACAATAAGACTCATTAAAAACACAACCCATCAGTGATACTCAAAGTTTGTCTCTTATGCAGGTGTTTGATTTTCTTCCCATGCAAGAATTTAATGAATGAAGCTCCAAGTGCACTAAAAGCAAAAAATGCCTGCATCTGTCTATTCTAAAAAGTTTGCCAGTTGATAAAAACAACCGATCTGGAAATAGTGCCACCAATTCTTTTTTGAAATCTTGATCAAATCTATTAACCATTTTTTTAGAAGTTTATTCCAAGCTCCTCTCCACACACGCAAATTGCAAATACATGATGAAAATTTTGTGATTCAACCTATGAAAATACACTTGAAAAATGCAACTGGCTCACCACAAGCAACTAACATCCTCAAGTTACATGTAAAGGATCCCTTGTCATTGGACGATAAAATTACAATTTGAAACTTTCAGTCACTATTCCTTCACAAACTATCATTGTCAGATATTTTCAAATTGGTATACTCTTCCTATATCTTTCCTCTGGTCTTTTTATTCTCAAGGGTCTTTTCCTGAAAGCACAGTGATTCTATTATTTTATAGTCTATTTAAGAAATTGGATTTGTTTAAAAATTAATACCAAAATGAACACACTCTATTTAAAAAGTACAGCAAAAAGGTTTATGGATGAGTCTTACCCTCCTTTTTAGCAGGTTCTGGGACAGGTTCTGGGACAGGTTCTGGGACAGGTTCTGGGACAGGTTCAGGCATGGCTGCAGTAAAGTGTTATTCTCCAAAGAGTTTGCTCCCCTCCAGTAAGATGACAGAAACCCCACGAGCAGTTGAGAGATGGTGCAGGTCAGTGTGACAAGCAGTTGGGGAGAAACCCAGTGCTTTTGTACTGCCTCTGAACTTCAGCCGTGTGGCACCGCCCCTTCTTCAGCACAAGGATGCTGGAACTTGACAGCGAGGAGGACCTTTCTCACATCTGTTGTCTGTACTCTGCTCTCTCGCCTATTGGAAGGAATCTCCTGTCCATCTCATGTGGCTGATGAGAACACCTCTACTTTCTAAATTCAGCTGCAGCCTCGTGCTCCTTCTTACTCTCTCTCTCTCTTTTTTTTCTGTCTAATGAAAGCCTGTCTCAACTCAGGAGTGCAAAAAAGTTTGCCAAATGATAAAAAATTAAATTAAATTAAAAATTAGAATATGTGAATCCAACATGTATCTTAATTTTTACTAAGGGTATAAAGAAAAAATCTCTGAATTAAGATGATAATTTTATGTTCCCATTAGATTTTTATTTTTGTCAGTTCTTAATTATTAGCTTAAAATTTTTTCTTATTTATTTTTTTGAGAGTAAGAAAGAAGAAGAAGAGAGAGAGAAAAGAGAAAGAGAGAGAGAGAGACACCAATTTTTTGTTCCACTTATTTATGCATTCATTGGTTGATTCTTATATGTGCCCTGACCAGGGATTGAACCCACAACTTTGGCGTATCAGGACAATGCTCTAACCAACTGAGCTACCCAGCCAGGGCCATTAATAATATATTGAAGTTAATTTGAAAAGCCAAATTTCTATGTTGAATATCTTCTCTCATTTAATCTTCTAAGAATAGCAAAGGTTTCTATTAAGGAATACTTAGACTTTATATTTTCTCAAGAAACATCTTTTTAAAACATTACAGGGCATATAAAAGAATGAAGGAATGATACATGGTGCCACATGGATGAAGCTTGAGTACATGGTACCAAGTGAAAGAAGGAAGACACAAAAGACCACCTACCATACAGTTCCATTTATGTGAAATGCCCAGGCTGCTCAGAAAGTTGATTAGTGGTTGCCAGAGGCTGGGTGGAGGCGGAATTGGAAGTGACTACTAATGGATCCGGAGATACTTTTAGGGATGATGAAAATGTTCTGGGATTAGATCGTGGTGATGATTGTACAACTTGGTGAATATATTAAAAACCACTAAATTGTACATTTCAAAATTTATGGGGGCCTGGCTGACCTGGGTTAGTGGTTGAGCGTAGACTTATGAACCAGGAGGTCACAGTTTGATTCCTGGTCAGGGCATATGACCAGGAACATATAGGAGGCAGCCAATCAATGATTTTGTCTCATCACTGATGTTTCTATCTTCCGCACTGAAATCAAGAAAAACATATTTAAAATAATAAATAAGTAAAAAATAAAAATATATGGGGCAAAGTCAGACAGACCAGTAGCCATTGTTTTGTTTCAAGAGAGCAGACAGACACAGGAATCTAACTTAAGATGTTGGTAGACTATCAGATTTGGCCACTTTCTCTCAAAGTCTCCTGGAACTTCATGGAGAACTATGAACTACCAAGTGGTCAAACTAAAAAAGACACCTTACTTTCTTTATCCACATTCATGGCACCTCAGAGACCAGAACTAAAATTAGTTTATATATGAAAAGACTCCTTGAGTGCCTTTATTGCCATGTGTTTTCAAGATCATTCTCAAGAGACTTTGATTGATTTGTAGGGAACCAGCCACCCTGTCTCATTTAATTTCCCTTGTGGCTGAGAGCGCAGCTGGTCAGACTTAGCTCTACCAAACTCTGTGCCAAGCTAACTTTTCATATAAGGATGGAAACTCAACTTAGAACTCAATAGCATCATGCTTTAGCTATGTGGGGGGCGGGGGAAGAGAGCAGTCAGGAAGGTCAATGACCATTTTCTACAAAGAAAGCCTTTTCTCAACCACGTAGTGCCACTGATCCCACTGTTTTGCTTTTAAAATTATTTCCTTGCTCTTAGATGCTAAACATCAGCCAGAAAACAGCATATTATATAATACAAAGTTAGATGTGCCTTGAAAAGAACAAAACCAAACATTTCCCCTCTCTCCCCTCCACCCCCCACCCCCAGTCTACCATGAGAGTATCAATTAACACATGAAATAAACTAAAGAAGCTAGAATCTGAAGTCAGACTTTTGGGTTCTATTTCTGGACCATCATTGATTAGCTGAGTTACTCTAAGAAAGATAAGGGGCCTTTCTGGGCCTCAGGTTCCTTTTTTGTAAATTGAGGGGCATATAAAAATTACCTTTGGCCCTAGCCAGTTTGGCTTAATGGATAGAGAGTCAGCCTGTGGACTGAAGGGTCACAGGTTTGATTCTGGTCAAGGGCACATACCTCGGTTGCAGGCTCCCGGCCCTGGTCAGGGGCATGTGGGAGGCAACCAATTGATGTGTCTCTCTCACATCAGTGTTTCTCTCTGTCTCTCCCTCTCCCTTCTATTCTAAAAATCAATGGAAAAAATATCCTCAGGTGAGGATAAAAAAAAAAAAAACAACTTAAAAATATTTGACCTCTGCAGACAATCAATGATTCTCTCTCATTATTGATGCCTCTATCTCTGTCTCCCTCTCTCTTCCTTTCTGAAATCAATAAAAAACATATATATTTTAAATGACCCCTGAAGATCCTTCTAGATTTAACATAGTGATTCTACATGGGTACACCTAAAAAGGAATAATTTCTTCAGCATTCCCATAGCACTGAACACCACATATGAAAGGACATAAGGACTGAGTGTCACATTGCAGAAGAACGTTTATAGTGATGGGCAGATTTCACGCATGCCACAAAAGAGGTGCATGCCATCATTGGCCTCTGCAGAAACTCAGTTGGGTTTTTAATCCACTGATCATTTTACTGAAGTGAACAAGTGCCAGGAAATAATGAAACCCATGAAGAAAATATGTTATGGCCTAGGGAACTTTTTGCTAAAAAGACAAAACTGCTCTAACCTATTTGGCTCAGTGGATAGAGCATTGGCCCAAGGACTGAAGGGTCCTGGGTTCGATTCTGATCAAGGGCACGTACCTAGGTTGCAGGCTCAATCCCTGATCCCAGTTGGAGCATGTGTGAGAGGCAACCAACCCATGTGTCTCTCTCACATCCATGTTTCTTTCTGTCTCTCCCCCTCTCTTCCACTCTCTCTAAGAATCATTGTCAGCTGAGGATTAACAACAACAAAAAGGCAAAACCTAATTGGAAGTATGAACAAATTCTAGGAAAATGATTGTCGAGTGTATTAATGGGTAAAGTAAAATTTTTAATCAGGGTAATACATCGACATGAGTAATTTTTCAGGATTGTATTGTTTTAGGAGCACATAAACCCTATTTCAGATCTTATACATCCATCTAGAACAGTGATGGCGAACCTTTTGAGCTTGGCATGTCAGCATTTTGAAAAACCCTAACTTAACTCTGGTGCCGTGTCACATATAGAAATTTTTTGATATTTGCAACCATAGTAAAACAAAGACTTATATTTTTGATATTTATTTTATATATTTAAATGCCATTTAACAAAGAAAAATCAACCAAAAAAATGAGTTCGCGTGTCACCTCTGACACGTGTGTCATAGGTTTGCCATCACTGATCTAGAAGGTTGCAGACACTTTATCTCCAACATGCTTCTCAGGCAGTGGGAAAAATGGTCAACAGGGCTCTTCTTTTTTTCCTATTTTTAAATGCTTTATTGTCCCCCACCTCCCTTGGTGTTCTTTAGGATTAGAGTTGGCCGAATATTGCATGAACCCACAGAATAACAGCTAAATCAAGATAGAAGTCTTTCTTGATCACATAAAGGAAATCCAAAAGTAACTCCTCTAGTCATTATAGTGGGTCCACAGTGCCATCAGAAATCCTCGTTCCTCCTTCCTGCTCTACCTACTGTCCTTCGGGTAACTTCATGGTCTAGAATGGCTGCTGGTGCTCGTGTCATTACATCTACATTCCAGGCAGCAGAAAAAAAGAAGACTCACTTTCTTCATTGTAAGGAACCTTCTTTGAAGTCCCACACACAACATAGTACATCCCACTGGCTAGAACTTGATCACGTGGCCACATCTGGCCACAAAAGGACCTGGCAAATGTAGTCCTTCATTCTCAGTGGCAATGGGCTTCTGTTACCAGAGAGAATAAAGAGAATGGATGTTGGATAGGCCAATACCAATTTCTAGCACATCTTTCAAAATAAAAACAATAATGTTCACTGCACCAACCAAAGAGTGCAGAGAAGTATAAATGTTAACCCTCACCCTCTCCTTAACTTTATCCTCACTCCAAGGTGTGAATTAGGGATCCAAACTTGGTCTAACTTTCCTCTGTGTTCATATATACACATGCAAATATATATTCGTACATAGGAAGTTCTTCATCTATTTTTATCTACATTACCCTCCAACTTGCTTTTCCCATTTAACCTGTCATAGACAGACATCCTCCATCCACACTAGTACATGTGTGTATGGGTGTGTGTGTGTGCATATAGCTGAATAATAATCATTCATGGACTGGATGCACCATAGTGTGCCATGTATTCTCAATTACTTCTCTTTTGATGGACATTCAGCTTGTTTCCAGTGTTTCGCCACCACAAATAACATCATAGACTATATACTTATATAATACTTTTATTTTTTTAAAAAAAATATGTTATTGATTTTTTACAGAGAGGAAGGGAGAGGGATATAGAGTTAGAAACATCAATGAGAGAGAAACATCGATCAGCTGCCTCCTGCACACTCCCTACTGGGTATGTGCCCGCAACCAAGGTACATGCCCTTGACCGGATTCGAACCTGGGACCCTTGAGTCCACAGGCCGACACTCTATCCACTGAGCCAAACCAGTTAGGGCAATACTTTTAAATTAGTCAGATAGAGATTAAAAATGAACTTGCTGGTGTAGATGCAGTTTAAATCTAATAGATTTGTGTTAGATTACTTTCCCAAAATGTTGCCTACTTAACAGGCCAATCAGCAATGTACAAGATTGCTCATTTTCCCATACCCTGTAT